CTCCAGATTCTTCCGACTCGTATGCACTCGTATGCAATATTGACTATCGGCAATAACAAAAAAAAAAAAAAAGGAAGTTCCGCGCCATCGTGCGTGCAACGCGCGCGCGATGACTCATCCGTCGACGGCGCAAGCACACGCGCTCTACGTGTGTGCGCACACGCACGTATTGTGTACACTTGTATGTTCATACGACCGGTGTCTCGAGATATACATTACGCCACAGCGACACTGCCGTATTCCGAGAAAAGAGTTGCTGGCGCACGCTCGCGCGATCGATGTCAGTCTCGGTATTTTGAATATTAATAGTATCACTAAGATCGTGCGTGAGAACTATAGCAATGAGGCGTAAAGGGGCTTCCACGTGATCGATAATATTAATCGCCAGCGACTTGAATATTAATGTCGAATGGTCTCACCGGGTTCTTTATCGCGTCAGCATTTCTCTGCTTCTGATGACATATCCGATATATTGAGCCCGAAAAAAAGCGCATAAATCCTTTTCGCTTTGATATATTTCTGAACAACGGTATGCCATTATAAATGAGAGAGTTGAGAGATTTGAAAGCGTTCCTTACAAGGAAAGATTGAAAAATTGTCCAAGAGTTAAGACGTGATTAAAAAGAATATCTTTCTTTTCGTGTAATTTCGTATTAAAATTTATGTAATACAATATTGTGTTTATTCAGTGGCGATCGATACAGATTTGCGCAAACGAGTGATATGATCTATAATGTTATCGTCGAGCAAAAAAAGATTTTAAATTTAAAAAAGAATCAATTAAGTTTTCAAAGATACCACAAATTCAAAAGAAATCCTCATTTAGGACTCCACAAAGAATTTCAGGATAAAAATTCAAGTATTTCAAATATTTCTTAATTTTCTTTCGTCTATTACATGTATCACATATGTCAAGTTAAGATATTTGAAAAATAACTCAAAGTAAAATATTTTCAACGTTTCCTTCATTACTAATGTAACAAACAAAAGTTACTACGAAAATGGCTAATTTCGTCGTCGAAAAGACTTTAAATTTAAGAATCAATTATATCACAAATTTAAAAGAAATCTTTATTTAGAACTTCACAAAGAATTTCAGGATAAAAATTCAAGTGTTTCAAATATTTCTTAATAATGTAATTCTCTTTCATCTATTACATGTATCACATAGTCATATGTCAAGTTAAGCATTTGAAAAATAACTCAAAGAGAAATATTTTCAAAAACTGCCTTCATTAGTTACGAGCAAAAATGACTACGAAAATGATTAATATCGAAATTAAGTGCTCTTAGACGGAAAAAGTAAACGCAGAAAATACGTCAAAGTAAACTAGGAAGATAAAAAAAGCTGTTTAAATACGGAGAATAATCTAAAAGTGTTATAAGACTGGGGTATGAATAATTGCGTGTAGTGTAAAGAAGCAGCTATTTGCCGTGCACAGTTTCTCGGTCCGCTCGATAAATGTCGTGGATCAATTATTCGTCAATTACGTACTTCGGATAATCAACATTGTGTGCAGCGCTTTTTGACGTTAATCAACCGCTTTATTTCGGTACGCGCGATAATTTCGTCACACACAAGCGAGACGTTTTTTTTTCGCATGTTGTGTGTGCGTAAGCTGATAAAAAGCTCAAGAGCACGATTAACACATGTTGCGTTGTTTTCTCAGGTGAATTCGACAAATTTCCTTTTTCTAACAGCCATTTAAGTCCTTCTCTTAGATCTTAGCAGTATCCCGCGTGCGCGCCCGCGACCGTTTCTATTTCTAATGAAAGTTCGACGGAGCGTCGGATGTCTTTTTAACTTAATTAATCGCTACGCTCTTAGGAGGTTTCCCCCCATTAATCTGGCCAAGAGAGAGAGAGATAAGATTGCTGGCGTTACGATGGCATTGACGCTTTTGCACTCGTACGATAACCGTTTCTGAAAATTTAATCGACTATTCCACGACGCCTACGCAATACGCTCTTGACCAGAACAAAAAAGATTATTTCTAAATAAACGACGAAACTGCTTAGTTTCTGACGCAACTTTCGTATCTCTCTTTTCACCAATCCAAGAATTTGACGTCACGCCACAATTAAAAAATTTACAAAATTATCTAGAAGATCCACAGAAGTGTTGACACTTAAATTCCTAAAAATAGAAAAGTACAATGTTTCGTATCGTCCTGAGCAGAACAACAAGTCACGATGTCGTCAAAATGACGTTAAAATGAATCATCACTGATCGATAAGTGACTTTCAATAATCATTTTCGAGTCATTTTGACGTCACTTTGACGTCATGATGACTTGTTGATCTGCTTGAGATTTTGAGCGAGGCAGTCAGTAGAATTCAATGATTAGAAATTGCACGAATGCTCAAAACGCTAAATTTAAAAAAAAAAGCGGGAGTTTCAGTAACTTAAATATACAAAAACTTTGACTTTTTTGAAAATACAAGATTAAACGACCGTAGAGTTTGAAACATTGAAGATCCGACGAAACAGAGATGGGAAAGTTCAAGAATTCGAGGACCTCTATGGACTTCGGGAATCTAGGAAATCCGAGAATTCAGAGATCTAAGGGTCCAACAACCCACCCCAAGGAAGTTTCGCGCACGCGAAACACGTTTGCCTGTGTACGTGCGTGGTCATCCACTCCGTGCACCAAAGATAGAGTCTGACATCATACACGCGGGCATCGGTCGGGTCGAATGAGCGATAAACATATGTACTCGCACACGGTGTCCTCGTACGCGGAAGGTTCCAGTTTATCGCTCATATAATTGCCTTGATCGATCGATGCACTCGCCGATGCCGCAGGCGTGTGTAATTCTGCTCTCTCTCTCTCTCTCTCTCTCTCTCTCTTCCCCTCCCCCTCTCATTCCTTTTCATATCTAAATAATTACGCGTTTAACTACGTTTCTGATATGCCGGAGGGCACAAATCTTCAGTTATAACTATGGTACATGCAAATATAATTAATATAATTGTAGCGTCAAAATTTTGACATCGTACGAGTATCATCTTACTTGTTAATCTTTTTACGAATTCTTAGAGAACTCGATGACACACATACACACACATGAAAAGCTCGTAAACAGTTTGGTAATTGCGAACGTTCTCTCGCAGCTTGAAAATAACGTTCGCGTAGATCCAAAGATCTACAGACAAGAAAGGCTTTCAAAGAGATATAAAGACACTGATATGAACAACCGGATATTTCATCTCTGAAACTCGAAGACTCGCGATTCCAAAAAAAACGGCGGTATATTCGGTGATGAATAACGCTAATTAAGAATCGTCCCGACGGTCATATCAGTTATCTCGAGTCATGACGTCAGAAGCGAAAAAATAAACGAAACAATTGAATTTTCTTCTTGAATGAAACTATTGTAGTCGTTAAAGCAGACTTGTATAGCGTGCTATAAACCTTATCATTAAATCAACAAGTAATATATTCTTCATGATATAAAACAATAAAAAAAAGATAGAACATTCAAGATATATATTTTACGATTTTAATCTTTTTTCTTGATAAAAGTACAACTTTACTTCAGTATGTGTTTTTCCTAATTTTCTTACATATATCAGTTCTTTGACGTATCTTACAAGCCTCCTCTCTATCGGGACGCGACGCTCTCGTTAACTCAAGAGAGAAAGTGTTTTGATATATTGATTGTTTATTTAAACAATGACTGTGCCGGCGAACGTAAAAGTTAAATGCCCTGATTTCTCGAGTTTTCTCGAATCATGGGTGCGTATCGTATGTCGAGGGTTTATTGTTTGCAGAGAATAATGGCGATTTACACGAGCTCGGATACGGCAGCTTTATAGTAACACGTAACACCCGCTGCCGCTGCTGATAAGGCGCTTTTGTACATACTATATCGGTAAACGTCACGAAATCAGCTTGATAAAATACGATTCGCTCAAGTACGATGTATAAGATACTACGCGCTATATAATGTGTCACGCAATTATCGATAGTCTGATAGCGTTAAAGTGATATGCGATTCTCGAGAATGTCTTTTTCTCGATCTCTCGTTAAATTATTTGATTTTGTACGAGCCAAATTATAATTAAATCACTTGTTTGGTGTGTAAATTATAATAATCGGCAGACTGATAGTTAACAAATGCTTCTATTTAAAAAAAATTTGTTTAGTTTTATTAACAATAATTTTTTATGCATATACGCACATTTATTATGTATTTGCAAAGTATAAGTATAATAAATTTCAGGCAATAATGTTTTTTTAAGTTCAATGAGACTTCAAATGTAAATTTTAAAAAACTTGATAAACTTTGTAATTTTTTTCAGTTAGAAATATAACGTCGAAGTTTTCATACAAAGAATAACCTTTATTAAACTTAAAACTTTGATTAAAGTTTATATTTAGTGAAGATTCGATATTTTCTTATGATATGCTCTTTAAAAATGTTATCAAATTTTTTTTCTAAAAATGCAAGTCATTCTTCGAGGAAAAACATGATTCAATAACAGCAATAACTGATCTATCATTTTGCAATGATAAAATTGAAATTGTTGCTTTGAATGAAATAATTTTACATTATTTTGGTCAAAATATTAAATTTAACAGAAAACTTCTAATGTTTTTATGAAATTAATATTAAATATTATAATATATCGAGCTTTCAATATTTTTGAAAAAGTAATATTAAATATTTTTATTAAAATATTTTTAGCTTTTAATATTTTTGGTAAAACTCGAAGATTAAAAAGTGTAAATATCTAAAAATAACAAGTTCTATAGACAATGCACGCTGGCGAGATTTCAAGGATTCAAAGACACGGACAAATTAAAACAATCAAATATTTAAAGATTCAAGGATCCGAAGAATACAAGGATACTAGCATCCGTTTAAAGATTTAAAGACTCAGAGAAAAGTTAATTTAAAATACTTAAAATTTTCGATATTTGGTCAAAAATAGGGAAAAATCGAAAATTATAATTCATTAAATCGGAGCAGATTTGATAAGAAATACGACTCACCATCGATGGGTCGAAATCGGAATCTCTTGAGCCTCGGCAATGTCGCAGGAGAACAAACTCTCGTTAGAACTGGCATCTCGCTGACTTCTTCAGATGACGATCGGCCGGAAGTTCCGTTCGAGGACGATTTCAACTCCGAAACAGCTGCACGCTTCGGCGATCTCTCGGCAATGCCAGTGGCCTCTGCGAAATGAAAAAAAAAAAAGAAAAACGTGAAGCTAGGTACAATACGTATCCTTTGTTTGAGTTGACTGACTGCATGCAATCTCCTGACGTGGACGACGGTGCGTCATCGTCGGGTGTCATCGTGTGTGTGTGTCATTGCTCCAGTATGCGGATTGCAAAACTTTATGCGACTCTGCTTAGCAGTGACAGCACTTTTTTTAATAACCAATGTCGATATCGTTGCACAATCGATATCTATATTTTTACGTGAGCAAACAAATATGCCGAATCTGCATATATCCTGCATATATGTATATATTATTCCCTACCAGATCCTTTTACTGAATAAAGCGTTATTTATAGCTGAATTTTAAGAAAACCACATCGCGACAGAACGATTTTATCAATTAAAAGAATGTAAAATATTTAATTCAGAGACGTTTTCTAGGCATAAATTGTTAATAATAATTGCTGATAAAAATTGCTTGATGCTGCATAATTGAGATATACGGAAGAATCTAAGGAAATTTCGTCCTCGATAATTTTTTGTACAATTTTATAAATTGCATTTTTATTAAATAAATATGTTACTCTGTTTAAATTTATCCAATTATTGTTTTAAACATATAACTAACGCAGTGCATAAGACGTTAATTATTAATTTTAATGCAATTTTATTTTTCATTTTATTTCAATTTTGTTCGTAATTAAAAATTCATTCAATACAATTTTTAATTTTATTTAAATTTCTTTTTTCATCTAGTCTTTTATTTTTTATACTTTGAATCATACATTTTTACAGTAGTATATGTATAGCCAGTAAATGTCAAACTGTCAATACAAAACTCATCAGTGACCCGAGATTAGCTCTGAGTCATACGATTAACAATCAAGAAAAACCGATACTTGCGAAATACCTTGGCCTCATTCTTTTAAAATAGGTCTTTTTCTTTATGAAAGAAATTATTGCTAACGTTGATTAAAAAATCATTTCTTAAATAACTATAATATTAATAGTAAAAAAATTGAATGTGTGTTTGTGTGTGTGTGTGTGTGTGTGTGTGTGTGTGTGTGTGTGTGTGTGTGTGTGTGTGTGTGTGTGTGTGTGTGTGTAAAAAATATGCATTGCTCTGTAATTGTTTTTTTATCTAATTCATGAATTTATGCTGTGCGATTCATTTTTCAAATCAATTAGACCAACAATATGTAATAAATAAATTTTAATTATGTACTGTTTATATATTTAAAGTTAAATAATTTACAGTACATTTAATGTT